TATGGAGAGGGATTCCAAAAGGCGGCGGCTGGTTTAATGTGCCCCTAGCCATAAGAGATGGGGTGCATGTTACCTCACTTTGCACTGATTCATTCTCAAACAATGAAAATACCACACATCAGAAATCGCCTTTTTTTTTTTTTTTACTGTCATGATAAGATTTATTACTTGTTTCTGATAAAAACAGCCTGATTTCTTGTTTTTTTAAATTATTGGTGCACACAGTTGCTGAACAATATCTGGTGCAGAGTCCAGGCTCAACTAACTGTATCAGGAAGAGGGCACATCTCTGGGCTCCTCACAAAACCTAACGAAGTGCATTAATGCATGAGCAGCTCTCTGTAGTCTGAAGAAGCAACTGCAGCTATTGCTTACGAAGCCTTCTGAATTACTTACTATATGTGAGGTTTTATCAGACATTTCTGCAGGCCCCAGTACATCTCAGAACACAACAAGGAAAACGACGTCTGTAGACTTGGCTTATTCAGTGACAATTTAGCTTAGCAGCAAAGGAGATGTATTGAGAAAAGGCCTATAGTTTTAATAAGGTGCTGTTTCCGCATGTTTAATGTTTTTCTGACCAGTAAAATCAGCAAGAGTGGTCCAGAACATATCTCTGTGTAAATCTTTCACATACAAATTACAGAATGTATTCATGTTTAAATGAGGAAAAAAACTGAGGGACTGTGATTGAGTAAAATCGGTTTACAAAGCAGAGTGGCTTCTCGCCACTCGATAAATTTATTATTATTAAAGCAGCTTACATATCCCATGTGGTGTTTCATGGTGTTATTTGCATTTCTGAGAACACCGAGGGCTCTAGAAGTTTGTGCGTGCCATCATTACTCTGTTCAAATTCCTTTTCCCAGGACACATACATCTGAAGACAGACCTAAGGGAGTAACAGCTTATATGGAATGGTTTGGGGCAGTTCTGAAGAACTTACGCTGATTTGCTTCATTTGTTTGATTCAACAGCAACAGGTTGCATAGTATGAGTTTCTGTATGAGCCCATCACAAGGAGCTTACAAGCAATAGTTGGGCTTGGACGCCCACGGGAGGTGACTTGCCCCATTTGTGTAATGTCGGCGGCAGAGCTGGGAACAGAGTCACCACCTTTTAATCAGTGCTGGTCCCTGCCCCGTGGTTCAAGTGTCAGCCTTTGGAAACATTTATTGGCTCTACTGGAGTGTTGGTGGTGAAAAATTCCACCCAGAACACACTTTTGGCTGTTTCGCAGATAAAGTCAAGCTGTGTTGTGAGAAATTACACCTTTCCCTGTGTCGGAGGTGATCTCTGGAGAGAACTGGTGCTGGGTTTTAGATGGAGTTCCAACAGTGAGGTACACATCTGGTTTAGGCATGAGGCTTTTGATTAAAGACCTCATGGAAAGCTTAATGCAGAAGTGAGGAGAAACATTTTTCATTTTGGTTTTATGGCTATATTTGATTCTTGGCAGAATGTAACTTTAAAAAAAAAAAAAAGAAACCAATTTCACTACTTCCTATATTTGCTTACCCCTTGCTGTTTTGGTTCTTTGGTCCCATCAGTCATCGTTTTAGGAGGTACATATATAAATGAGTTCTGCCTTTGGTCATTCTGGACACTCGGTATAAAGCACTATCTGGTACCAAAAAATTGTTGTTTTCTAGAAATTAGAGCTTAAATTACTGCAGCTGTGGGCTCAGCACTTTTAAGAGGAGGTTGAAAATTTGGCACAGGCTGATACACCCCCCAGGAGATTTCCTTCTGCTTGTTCCTGCCTCTCATCTCCTCCCCGGAGCTGTGCTGCTCTCACCTGCGGACAGTCTCGTGGATGCTGACACAGGCAGTGGGTGAGTTACCCGCTCCTCTGCTGTGGCCACGCGGCTCTGAGGGCTGGTGGTCCCCAGCAGGCCAGGGCTGCTCCTTATCTCGCTGACAGCGATGTCCTCTGTGCAGTAGTTTGCTATGAACTGTGTGGCAGACTTGTGAGGGACAGAGAGAGAAAGAAACCACCATGGGGTTCACTGTGTCCGCGTTTCTCCTTCCCCCTCGCCTTTCTTCTGTCCCTTTCCTCCCTGCTGCTGGGTGTGTGGGACTGAATCCCCTGCGGTTAACGCTCAGGTCATGTGCTGAAGTCTCTGAGTATCTAAGGACTAGAGTCTCTTGCTAGGTGTTGAGTTTTGAGCCTGTGGTTGTGTGTCGTGCTTTGGTCAGAGGAACTCCTTTCCTCGTCACCCCTCCTTGTAAGGATCTGGAGATGTCCAGGGGCTGGGCGCTCATCCCTCCCACGGGCTGACGAAGGGGCGTAAGGAGCAAAGGAGGCCCCATCGTAGAGATCAGTATGAGGGTAACATATCCTCCCCCTTTTGTGTTTCACAATCATTTTCCTCTCCTGCTCCATAGGCTGAGGATATTTCTGCAAAGAAAGACAATTTTAGTTAATTTACCGGAGCTGTTTCAGAAGTTTTTGTGGAAAAGGATTGCACAACAGGAGTTGCTCACCTCCTTGGAGTCTCTCCAGCTTTTCGTAATGAAAATGTTAGTGTATAAATCCCATAAACACAGCTCCAGCTAGAGAAGCTGAGGGTTGTGTTGGGTCAGACCCATCTCGGTTCCCTTTGGGTGTCTTGGACTTTACCTGCAGCTTCTGGTCTGAGCTCTGCTGGGCCGCTGAGCCGTGCTGGGGGCTGGGGTGGGGGGCCATAGACACCTGCTGCTTGCTTTGGATACAGTATGAGAGTGGGAGGCATAGAAACCCCATCCTATTGGTAATTCAGATGAAATTTTGGACAAAGTAGATTTTTGAAAAATAGTCTTTGGGACACGAAGTCAAGAGCCTGTATTCCCAGACTGTTTGAATCAGGGCAACTTTTTGTCTCCCAGTACCCACACACAAAACTGCTGTTAATCATGTTTGCTACAGCCATGGTGAGGGACCTGCTAGAAAAGCCCCCGTACAAGAAAGGCATCCTTTTATACTGGATCAGAAGCTGCACAAAGCCACCCTGGACAATCGAAGGGATTTTTCTCCATTTGCACACGGATGGAATTAACACATCTCATCCCTTGGTCCTTATTGGGGTTTGTGTCTTGGAAATTCTGTTGCCTTGATGTGTGGTGACCTTAGGCTCCAAACGGGCAAGGAACCGTTTCAAAAACTGCAGTGCGGGGATTTTTACTTTTCCCTTTCATGTTTTCTTTCAAACACTTTTCTTACACAAAACCCACAGAGAGAGTTCCAGGCAGTGTCCACCCATATGAAACCAGACATTTTTTCCATAATCTTTTTATAGATTTGGTAATATTTAACTCAGCATGTATTAAAATGTATGGAGTACATAAAGTTCATTATAAATGTCACCAAACAGGCCAATGGCTTTTTAATATCACTGTCACAAGACTGCGTTTTAACCTATTTCCTCTCTGGATCCATTCCAGTGGCAATTCCAGGAGGGGAATATATTTAGTCTATATTTACTTAGTCTGTTTAACTTTCAGTTAGTGTCTTTGGCTCATCCCGTGGCCATGCTATTTTGGGATGATTTATACAATATTTACATTAAATTCTGCTAATATTTCCTTGCCTCTTGAAGTCGGATTACACTATTTACATCTCAAAGGCCCAAGCTGGAGGAATAAGCAGCTGTTCCAGGCACCAGAGAGAATTTAGCGTAGGAGAGGCTGCCAGAAATGAGACCATGTGTCTGAAATACTCACGGAGGAATTATTTAGAATTGGACCAGTCCTCCATGAAGGAAGGGGGAAGGCTTAACCATAGCAGTAAGAAACGTGGCTGGTACATAGGGGTCAGACAATCGCAGTCAGACGTTGTTCTTGTTTTTTGCAAAGGATTTCTGGTGCATTTTCCATCCATTGCAAATAGCCTGAGCTAAACCGCGGCAGGACCATGCCGTGGGCTCCTTGGTGGGTAGGTCTAGTTTGCAGTTGTCGTACTCTGTTGTGAAAACTGAATGTCCCTCCTGTGCTTACCCCTGAAATAAGGGTTGATGCAATTGTAACTCCATCAGGAGGTGGAGATACTCAGGTTGCCTGGGACCAGGCTGAGTCTGATAGTCTGACAAACCAAAATAGCTGCATTTGACCAAGTACCAAAGCTGAGCCTCGTGGTTTCTGCTAAACCTCCTGGAAATCAGCAAAGCATAGGATTTGCTGGAGTATTTTAAAGAATTTCATTTTAAAGAAAAAAAAAAAAGACTAAAAGCAACAAATTTGACCTCTTTGTTAAGGCTGAATCAAAAAGCAAGCAGACAAACAGGAGTGGCTGTAGATCAGAGGAAATTCCCATCATGTCCCCAGTGGCAGAGCAAAGCAGCCAGCTACAGGGAATGAAGTGTATCTTCTTCAGGTGTCTGTGGGGTGCAGCATGAGGGGTAGGGACAACAGAGCTTAGGTGTGTCATTTAGTCTTTTACAAAGCTGAGAGGCACCTTCAGATCAAAGTTGGGATGCTGAGGCCATATTCCTTAAAGCAAAAAAAATCAGTTTTTGATTTATAACAAAAGTTAAGAAAAAGTACATTCAGTGACCCTTAATTTAACTGCAAATATGCTTCAGAGTTAGGGAGGAAAAATTCCTCTCCGTATGTACAAAAACTTACCTTCAGGATCGCTCTGTGAAATAACAAAGCAAGCAGCTGGATGAGAGCGAAGCGCACGTAGCCAGCCGCCTTCTCAATCCCGACACTATTTAGCAGAACTAAGGGTTCTTCTGCGTTGATGGGACAATACAATTTAGTGGTCCAGGGAAAAAATCCAAACTGTGAAAATATTTGACAACTACTGTTATCTAGAGAGGGGGAAAAAAATTAGGTGGAATTTTGGACTGTAATTATTCTCGGAGGAATCTGCAGATCTTTTAAGTATAGGAGATGGTTCCAACAGACATTCTTAATGGTTTCAAACTCTGGAGAACAAGTCTTGCTCTGAAAGCCAGTGAAACTTTAGGGTGGATAAATATTTTCTCT